AACCTGTTAATGCAACTCCACCATTTATGGAGAGTATCAAAGAAGCTAAGTTTAGTCCCAAACTCACGGATAAACAACATGACCAAATTGTGAGATTGATTGCCAAGTTCAAGGACCAATTTGGGTTAGGAGACAACCCACTAGGTACAATTGATAAACACAAAGTGAGTATTCAATTGAGTATAGAGAAACCCTATCCACCTATCTTGCAGGAAGCAGCTTATCCAGCTAGTCCTAGGAATAGAGTCAAGATTGAAAAACATCTTGATGAATTACTAAAACTGGGTGTAATCCGTAAAGTTGGAGAATCCGAGGAAGTAGATATTACTACACCAGCAATAATTGCATGGCACAATGGAAACTCTAGATTGTGTGGTGACTTCAGAGCACTGAACACATATACTTTACCTGATAGATACCCCTTACCAAGATGTGACCACGTTTTGATCAATCTTGGTAAAGCAATATACATTACAACCATGGATATTTTCAAAGGCTTCCATCAAAATGTTGTAGAAGAAGCGTGTAGAAAATTTTTAAGGATTATCTGCCATATGGGTATCTATGAATACCTGAAAATGCCTTTTGGTATCAAGAATGCACCAGCTTTCTTTCAAAGAATGATGGATATAAAATTCAGCAAAGAACTGCGAGAAGGATGGTTGAAAATTTTCATTGACGATATTATCATATTCCATGATAACTGGGATGACCATGTCAAAGCTATTGAGAAAGTTTTACTCAAGGTCAAGGCTATGGGAATGACAATTTCCTTGAAGAAAAGCAATTTTGGTTTCCACAAAGGAAGGGCACTAGGACATTTAGTGTCTGGACTATGGAATGCAATTGACCAAAATAAGACAGCAGCAGTGTTGCAAAAACCTCCGCCAAAGAGTATCAAGGACATGCAAAGTTTCTTGGGATTTGCTAGCTACTATAGAATTTTTTTAGAAAATTACGGAAAAATTGCAAATTGCCTATACAAATTGTTTGCTAAAGGTGTTTCCTTTGAAATGACTAGTGAAAGAATTCACGTGTGGCAAAAGATACAAAATATGATCACCACAGCACCGGTTTTATTGCAACCGGATTTCACTAAACCTTTCAAACTATATGTGGACGCATCATTTGAAGGTCTAGGTGCTGCATTACATCAAGTTCAAATCATTGATAGTAAATCCAGAGAAGGTCCAGTTGCATTCATATCAAGACAACTCAAAGACAGTGAAACCAGATATGGTTCACCACAATCAGAAGCACTAGTGTTAGTTTGGGCGTTGGAAAAGTTGCACTACTATTTAGATGGAGTGTACTTTGAGGTGATTACTGATTGTACAGGAGTGAGATCTTTGATGAATGTAAAAACTCCAAATAGACATATGTTAAGATGGATGTTGGCCATCCAAGAGTATAGACCATACATGACAATTACACACAGACCAGGTAAGATGCACAACAACACGGACGGTCTCAGCAGAATGGCTTTGCCGAATGATAGTAGTAATCCTGCGTGGGATCCAGAAGACGCAGAGATGGACATCCCCGTCATGGGATTAAGTTTGGCAGAACTCAGCACTGAATTCTTTGAGGAAATCAAAGAAAGCTATAATACTAATGTGAATACAACTAAGTTAATATCAATGATGTCCAAAGACAAAGCTAATTTAAGTCTAGCAAGTAGTCCTGAGTCACCATGGAAAGAATTTTATGCAGAAGGGAAATTCTCATTACAATCCGGGCTTTTATACTTCAGAGAGAAGCATAGCTCGGTAGTTGTTCTTGTGTTAGAAAAACACATTGAACAAATATTGCAGACATGTCACGATGAATTTCTATCTGGACATGTGGGAGTAGATCGGACTCTAGAAAGAGTGAGCACCACAGCTTGGTGGTTTCAGTGGAAATTAGACACTGAGAAATATTTCAGTAGCTGTGACAGATGCCAAAAAGCGAACAAAGCTACAGGAAAAAGGTATGGTCTCCTACAGAGTATTGAGAAACCTACATATCCTTGGCAAGTCATTAATATGGACTTTGTCACAGCATTGCCACCAGGTGGCAGAGACAATTACAATTCTGCTTTAGTTGTTGTAGATAGATTCTCAAGAAGAGTGAGATTTTTGCCGTGCTACAAAGAATCTTCAGCAATGGATATTGCTTTACTTATGAGGGGTACGCGTCTGTTAGGCGTACTCTTCACTGAGAAATGCGTAGGGAAAGGGAAAACTGGTCTTCAATTGGTACACCCAAGTGAAGACTACAGTTAGTTGACCTCTGAGAAGAGGGTTTAAGGGAATAAAGGGGAAGGAAAGGGCTATTACGCGTAAATACGCTAAAACCTCGTGAGACTGTGAGGGGCAGGCTTTACACTTTGGTAAACCAAAGATCCTGAGGCTACTTTAGACTCCTGGTGAGGGAGGAAGCTTTGCTGCTTTATGGTTTATTTCTAGAGACGTTTATGGCCCAGGGCTCGTAGAAATCAATACCAAGGGTGTTCTGCAATGGAACCCGTAATGCTCAAAGATGGTCGTTTAGACTACACAACTAATCACGTACTCAAGGATCCTCTCAATAGGATTTCAAGTATAATGTGATTCTGATGTTGTGGTGTGTAAAAAGATGGGGGATGAATCAAGGGAAGAAGGGGGGTTTATATATTCACAGGTCAAGCGCTAACTTGTGGTTGGCGTGTGATTCTTGTCTCACTTGTGGTTGGCGCTTGGGTTAGGTTTGCTACGTAATTAATACATTACGTACATGTGTTTATGTGGCTCTTGACACTGAGCCGTGAGATGTACTTATGGATTTATACAATAATATAATATCACATATGTAACTGTTAGCCCATGGTCGTGTAATCAGGGCTCAGGGCTGACATTACTCTTCTGGGAAAGACTGATCAGTGATGTAGGTTTACCAAGGGTAATAATCAGTGACAGAGATCCTAAATTCACGTCTAATTTTTGGAAAAGCTTATTTGAAATTATGGGAACAAAATTAGCTTTCTCGACAGCATACCACCCCCAAACAGACGGCTTGGCCGAAAGATGCATTCAAACATTTGAAGAAATGTTGAGGAAATTCTGTGCCTTTGGCCTTGAATTCAAGGATAAAGATGGGTATACGCATGACTGGACAACCTTGTTACCTGCTTTAGAAATTGCTTACAATACCAGTGTTCACAGTTCTACCAAGAAAACACCCTTTGAAATAGAAAGAGGTTTTTGCCCTAGGTTACCTAAAGATAAATTTAAGAGTAGAGATGTAGAAATCCACCCAACTTCCCTGAGTTTTGCCACAATGATAAGTAAAGCAAGAGAATTTGCAAATCAATGCATCAAAGAAGCGGAAGAGTACAATAAGGAAAGGTGGGATAAAACTCATAAGGAGCCAAACTTCAAAGTTGGAGATCAAGTCCTGTTATCAACAGTGAATTTCAACAACATACAAGGGCCAAGGAAATTGAGAGACCCTTTTGTTGGACCTTTTGTTATCTCCAAACTTGTAGGACCCAATGCAGTGGAACTTATATTACATGGAGACCTAGAAAGAAAGCATCCAGTCTTTCCAGTATCATTGATAAAGAAGTACAATGATCCAACAAGAGATAAGTTTCCTAGAAAGACAAAAGTGGTAGTTCCGCCCTTTGAACCGGAAAAAGAAAAGCAGTTTCTTAAAATTGTTAGAGAGAAAAGAGTGAAGAATAAGGACAACAAAGATGAAGTTTTATACCTAGTAAGGTACAAGAATCATGGAGCAGACGCTGATGAATGGTTACCAGCGGACAAAGTCCCTAACTCCAAAGTAAACCTTAGAGCTTTCAGAGCAGCAAAGAGAGATCACACTTCATGAAAGTGGTATGACTGCCTTTGGTGGTGGGGAATGTCAGCCCCAAGCCCTATTACTAGTACCAAAGGGCTGCCTAAATAACTATAAAATAACAAAAATAATAATTAGAACTCATGGCTCAGTTTCAAGAGCCTTCACATATGAAATTACATATGTACATACATGTAAATGTAACTAAAAGGTTGCATTATGTAAGAATGCCTTTCACAAGTGCGCATCACATGAGTAACACAAGAGTTACACATGTGCGTAATCAAATAATAATTGAATAATTAAGAATTCATGATTACATACGGTAAATGAGTATGTAATCAAACCACAAGTTGTACATAAAGGATTTTCAGGGTTTTGAGTATATAAAGAGCTCTCTGACCCGCCAGGAAAATCTATCATCATCATTACATTTAAGCAAATTATCAATACTTCATCAATCAGACAAATAAGAGTCCTTGTCCTCTTCCATTAGACATTGTATATTTCTCTAATTGAATCATTGCTTTTGTTATTTGTAGAAGTTCTTTTGAAGACTTCACTGTTTTTTCAGGAGGTGATCCTAGAAGTTTTGCTCAAGTTATTGAAGGGATTCAATAACTTGAGAAACTTTAAACTCACGGAAGTCCCTCTGTGTTCAGAGTCTAAAGAACTTCAAAATATCACTAGGTGATATTTCCCTTGTTGAACAACTCTAGAGTAGAGTGTGGTTATCTTGGGCACGACACTGGGTGCCAGTTGTCTATTGTTATCCGGCCAGAAGACTCTTGTCTTGCCTTAATCCCTGGATTTGTATCCTAAAAATCCTCTGTTGAGAGGTCATCTAACTGAAGTCAGTGCGGATTTGATCCCACTGCTTCTTTACAACCTTGTTTAGAAACTTTAAATAGGTTTCTCACGTGCATAATAAACCTAGTTTATTATTCCCAACTTTTTTTTAGTGACTTACTAGCCTAAAAGACGCTAGTAGCTCACAGAAACCTACATGTTAATACGTACAAGATTATTTCAGTACAAGTGAGGTGTTTGTTGGAGAAGTGTACCCACAATGCAGACTTCATCGTTGAATAGCTGACATGACCTGCTAGACAGAGCATCTTGAGGCTACGTTGGAATGTATCCTGAAGTGCTTGAGCCTCTGCCAGAATATCAGGAGATGGTCAATTGTTGGAGCCGGTCTTGCGCCTGGCTAAAAGCTTATCTGCATAGGTGTCAGTCCATTCAATATCCACATTGGCATAGTTGGCCAGGGTAGGCAGCATAGCATGATGTTCTTCTTTCTTGTGATCATCTTCTACTTTGGGCTCATCACTTGAATCCACAGCTTGCTCATCTTCTTAGGAATCATCATCATGATCTTCAGAATTGTCTTGGTTGTTGTCTTCAGAATCTATATTTAAAATAGATGTGTAAGATAGATCAATAGGCAAGTTTTGGTGTTTGTAATGATCAAGCGAAGAAAGAGAGAATCAATGAGCAAGTACCCACCTGGAGTTGCAGCACATTGCAAGCGACGGGGTTTCTTAGTGTTAGTTTTGGATTTGCCGGCGTTGCCTGGTTTTGACTTGCTTGCTGATTTAGATTTAGAGCGTGTTGATTTGGAACGTGTTGCGGGCATCCTGAGTGGGTGAGTCCAAACTAAGTGGTAGGAGATTGGTGTTGTGGTGCTGTTGGGGCTAGTTGGATAAGTAAAAGCTGGTGGGCTTGATGCGTGGGGTGGTGGGTTGTATACAATGGATGGTGAGCTGTAATGTGTTGTATATATTGAGTGGTGAGGTGGTGGATTGTGACCGGTCCGGGGTGAGTTGTATTGTATAAGGTGGGTGGTGAGCTGGTGAGAGTGTACAGCGGTGGTGTGCTGGTGAACCAGGACTTAGCCATTTTTTGAGAGAGGAGAGCGGCAGCTCTCCTGCTCTTCGGCTCGCAAAGAAAAACACGGACTCTATTCAAAGATACGTGTACAGTTTTCTTCGGATAGTATCCAAGGATTTCAAAGGACACAGGTGGGTGCATTGTGGTACAAGAATGGAATATACTTCAGACATGATGTGGAAGTTCCCCGCCTCAAATTGCGTACTGACAGACCCATCTGGGTAGCATTGCCACAATTTCTTTTTAAAAGATCTGTATGTATCATTGGCCATGACAAACCATATAGACAATAAACTCCTTGTTCTTCCTGTGGATCCAATTCCTCAAATGGGATGATTCATGTAGATAAAGTATGGAAGTGTGGAGCCTGCTTCCAACTTGCTAGTTAAGTTGAGAATCAATGCATGCACCTTACAGAAGGGTATTATCACAAGTTCAAATATATAGAAGAACATGAGAGTATAAATTGGGAGAAGCCCAAGTCTTTATACTGATGATGGTTTCATAGACACACAATGAATATGACATACACGCAAAATGTCTCTTTCAAGCTGTCTTGTGAATATAATTTTTGAAGCTTTGTGGAGAATGTTAGATATTTCCAACTGTTACAGATCTGTTTAATACAAGAGATTCTGTTCTACATGGTTAAACTAGCTTTGAGTGTGCTTTAGTGAGAGTTCTTGTGAAAACAAGACAATAGGCAGATATATTGTCTAAGAAAGAAGATGAGCTCTTAAAGCCACTGATGGGGCAGCCCTGAGGTCTTTCCTGGTTAAACCAGCTCAGGCTGGGCCCTGTCAACAACACAGGGAGTGAGCATCCTGTACCCCTATCCAAGCGCCAAACCATCCTCCTGCCCCCTAACCACTCAGCGCCCAAGCAATTGAGGCAACACCAAAACCCAAGCCCTAACACCTTGGCGGCCCAAAAACCAACAGGGACCCATGAAAACTGTGGGCTCCTTGCTCAAAGCTTTGCCTGCACCCCTGTAATCTGTGGCCTTTCAGGGACCGGGGTCCCCAAGGGGCATTGATTCCAAGGCTCAACTCAAGATCCAGTTGCAATCTTGAGCTGATCAGCACCTATCAGGGCTGAAAAGGTACAAGACTTTTTGTGGCAGCTTGGGTATTGCTCAGCCACTATTGTATGTTTTGGCTGTCTTCCATGATGTGCCTCAGGGCACAACTGGTTTGATTTGGTATGGAAATTATTCTGATCACCAAAAAAATTCACCTGGGAAAAATGGAATTTTTTTGTAGTAAAAATCACATAAGGGGACTTACTGGCAGGTGCTGTCATGCCAAAATGAACCAATTAGTCATAATTCCCACCACTGGAATCAACTTGTTTGAAACCCAATTGAGGGGGATTTTGTTGTCCGGGTTCGCAATATCCTCAAATTGCAAATCTTGTTCACAACTTGTTAGCATTACGTTTGCCAATTCCCCTTGGGCTGTACTCTGTACTCAGCTGGCCCCGTGTATGTACAGTCACATCATACAGCAACATCCTCTTTGACCATTCCTCAGCTTCATCCTCAACTGTCAAGCCTCAATCAACCAAAAAAAAGAAAGCACTTCAGTGGGGACATGATAAGCAGTGAGATAGTCAAATGGTTGGAATCAGAGATTTTGAAAGTGCTGTGTATGTATATGTATTGTAGGGTACTTGAGGGAATTTGGTAAACATCAACGTGTCTGTGTAGGGTTTGCTTGTCAAAAAGTGCACACCAACTACCTTTGAGGCAGAAAGGGAAGTTGTGCGTGCTCGTCAACAAGCAAACACTACCTGGACATGGTGAATAGTGCTATCAGGCTGTGAGAAAGATTCAGGATTTGAGGAAATTTCAAACCCCAACACCAAAAATCCCCTCAATTGGGTTTCAAACAAGTTGATTCCTGTGGTGTCCCTCTGTTGTGAGCTTTCTTGATGTATACCTAGAGGCGAATTTGTTAAGTTTAGAGGTGGGGGGTACAGATTACAAAGCTGCGCAGATCACAAACTGAATGTTGCAAAGTCAAAGATTACAGAAATGGGTGGCGGTGATTTTGCCTCTGGGCAACCGTAGATCAATAGTACCACTTTCATTAATGAATTCTTCCTATTTTGGAACAAAAGGTCAAATTTAGTGACACACTCAATTTCTCAACATGATGAAGTCAAAGAGTTTCCAAATTGTTACAACATGTTCTACGTTGTATAGGCCAATACCCAATTGGACAGCTTTTTGAGAATCACATCAGATTTATTCCTAGCCACTTGGGGCGGTGGGCACCGCATTGGTCAGTATAGTACAGGCCTATGTCCCTATGTATGACTCAATTGGTTTGGAATCACCGAGGTGAGCAAAAGCAATGGAAAAATGTAAAAAAGAAATATAACCACATATAGGGTAGCCTGTCATCAATTCAGGAGAAGTCTTGAACTTACTTGTGCCTGTTTAAGATATTATGAAACTTGGAAAGTTCTGAGAAAGTCTTCTTGAATCTCCCAATGAACACCTTAAAACCCAAAAGATAATCAATGTGTTATTGTCATGATACATTCAGTATCTCTGGATTGCAAACTAATCAGCTTATTTGATTGTGTCATAGTATTGTTTTTTGTAAAAAGTTTCTTAAGTTCATGATTGCTTCTAGAAGGTGTTGGATTGAAATCAAAGTGAAACAATCAAGGTGAAAATTCACATATAAATCTTTGGTCAGAAAGTTTGCCTTCAGATACTTATTTCTGATTCATCATACTTGATGAAACTGAAAATAGGCTGATTGATTCATTGAACAATGCCACACAATTTACTTAACCCAATTCATGCAAAGATGTCAACTTCAATTATTGCTGTACATTAGCTGCTGGAGTTTCAAAGTGATGCTGATATGCTGAAGCTGAAGTATATGACTTCTTGATCTATTGGTGATCAACCTGAAGTTTGGGTACAGTAACACTCAATTCAATATTCATAGAATCTACGTGACTATTTCAAACTTCAAATAAACATTTCAAGCACTTGTTTCCCATTGAATTTGATATATTTCAAAGTATGTTAGGTTAATGGATTAAGGTATTAACTATATCAAGAGTCCATTCAGGTTTGTTGGATGGCTCAACAGGTTGGATTATTGATGAAAAGTACCATCATCCATGCTTCAATCAATTGATATACCTACTTGCAAAGGGGATTTTACATCAATACAGATTTCAAACTTGAAAATCAAAAAGCCTCAATTTGCATATTGCTTTTTGAGCACTGAAACAAATCCTAAACATTGTGAGGGATTCATTATCATTGTCTTGTTTCAAACAATCTATCAATAAAATTCCTCTAGAGCCGTATCATTTGGATCACTTGATATATTTCACTTTCAGTTTTCAATATTGATTGGAGGTGTACATAAATCAAAGAATGATACTTGTGTCATTTTCAACGGTTTGTTGAGGTTAAAGATGATTATAATGATTACTGATGAGGCTTACCTGAAGTGCAGTTGGATTATTTAATGGGGCGTGTTAATGTTGCGATGTCGCTTTTGAGATTGTTGAAGTTCACAAATTGTGAAGATTGCAAAAGTGTATGAACCCTGCCGATTATATAATTTTACATACAATCTTCTGTTTGGAATGTATGTAAGAAATACAGTCAGAAAAAAAAGGTCCCAAAAGTATACCACCGGAATACCTTTGTTGAAATTTCCGAACAGACATTTCCAACATCTAATCATCACAATTAAATTACCTCGCAAATGTCAAAAATCTCCCTTCATATCATACACCATGTCAATATTTGTGTAGCACATTGACGTGCACACACGGAGGGTTTTGAAACAAATCTCGAAGTCTTTTGGTCAGATTTAGACTGAGATTGCCGTTGAGCACCCTTTGTGAATAGTGATTTATTGAAAGGATTTGCGGAATCCTTTGTGGTCAGCAGGAGTCAAGTGACTTTTAACCTCCCAGGTGATAAGGGGAAGATGTGCTTGTTGTGGTACCTCTTTGATGGGTCTTTACAGGGTCTAAGGAAAGTCTTTTGTGTGTGCACGTCGACATGCTACAAGGATATTTGCATGGTGATAGTTTTGCAAGACATCCGTCACAGACATCCCAAACCGCCGCAAAGATAACATCGTTAAATTCAAATCCATCTCATGATTCTTTAATTTTGCAATTAATCTTCCCAATCCAATGGATTGGATTGGCTCCAATGCATTCAAGTTTCTATGTGACCTTACACCCACTAAAGGTGGTAGAAAAGGTACTGCCGCTGAGCTTACGTATCTGAATGGGGATTTGAATGAGGCTGGAGGACATCCGCTTGACCTCTATCCAGCAAGGGCAGAGTCTCGCACACCTAGCTTAGACTTGATTTGTCAAAAGGTTGGAGATTACCTTCTTTGAAGAAATGCAAGTGACTTATGCACAGGCTTATTATCTTTTTATTGTTCTGCATTTTATTTGCTTTAATATCTTTTATTTCCATAATTCATCCTATCATCTTCGAAAACCAATAATTTCGTATTGTGAAATATTCCTCATTCAAGACCAATCTCAATATAATCAAGCCTTTAGTTCCTACTTTTCAACCTTTTTTTGATCAAACAACACCTCAAAACACCTCAGAAATGAGTCATGTTTCGGAAACTGACCTTGACAACCTTCATGTCTCGGAAACTGACTTTGAGAACATGGAAGATGACGACAAATACAAAGGATTTGATCAAGATCTTGATTACAATGATAAGTATGTGG